GGGGGGGGGGTTTATAGGCGCTACCAACTGACCCGGCCGACGGGGTCTAGACCTTTACGGCCGAGCGGTTAGAGTGTCTGACTGGGGCCCGGGAGGTTGTGAGTTCGAACCCCGGCCCGGAACCAGAAGGCTCCTCCTGTTTCTTACAATATCATTATGCAATTATTATGCCAATGAAACCAAATTAAAGTTATTATCATCTCAAACATCATTGTGATGTGACTGATAAACATCATATAAGTAATTACATTAAACAAAAATAAATCACTGTCGGAAATATTTGTCAATGATCATACATTACCAAATTATTTATGCCTCGAGCCATAAAAACGACCGTTATGTAACATCCAATCAAACAAAGACAGTTACACAACAGCCCGTTTGAAATCTAAGACCCTTACCTTGGCCAGATGTGTTTTGATGACTTTATCTGCAGGATATTTAAAGACGTGAAAAACATCCAGTCCTAAAACCATTGCAGTTTAGAGAACAGCAGCCACGAGTTTATACGAGGTCAAGTCAACAAAAACACAAAAACACCGGCGATTTCGCGGGATGAGGGCAGCATAACACAGAAATATTACATAATAATCATCCGCAAATATGGACAATCTCAGACCAAAACGTCAAATTCGTTACAATCTGTAAGTAGACTTAAATTTATGCGATACTATTTTGTCATAGTTAGACGGCGTAGGTACGTGGCGACTAAATTAGTAAAAAAAGATCCCAACTTGAAATGTTTTGTAGCCCCCAGTGTTGCGTGACCTGCGACCCCTTAGACTGTTCTAAATATATAATATGGAGGGGAGTTTAGATTTTGATTTAACAGCGGATAAAATCATAGTCCGGCTTAAAAAAAATCTTATTAATGTATTTCACATAAAATATTAAGATGTATGTAAGCAGCTAACTGCATCAGAGATGATAGAAAATTTGAATCAAATTTTAAAAAAGGAACATAGCTTACACCCCCCTTTAGGTTCCTTCGTTAAATCGCCCAAGTATTTCCCACAATCCCACACGCTGGTGATTTTCGGCGGGAAAAAAGTTGTTCTGCTGAGTTGGCTCGTCGTCAGACGTCATACGGCAAGATGCCGAAAAGGTAAAACATTCGTGATTTTTCATCGTTTTTCTACAGAGAAACTTAATTCTTGACGCCTTGGGTACTAGGAAAACGTTTGACCTCAATATTTTGACAGAGCTTGGGGTGTCAAACTGTGTGATGGGGGAGGGGGGCAAGAAAAGTTTTCTGTGAGTTTGCAAGGCACACGATACCTTCAAAGATTCAATTTGACAGTAATATGAAAATCAAACTTAGGTTTGTAGATTTAGTAACGGTTAGAAATCCAGGATGTTCGAAATTACATTTTATAGTTGTTCAAGCAGGAATAATGTTTGTTGTTGGAATAAAATTATTTGTAGCAAGGACACGTACTAACAATATACATCCCAGATGGCTGACTTCTATTGTTTGCCAGTACAAAAATACCACATGTATATGTTTATGAAGGTTAGGCCACACCAATTTAATTTCTTGGTTAGCGGATTTTCTAGAAAAATAATGGAGCGGGTAAGCATTACACACATATTACATTTCACAATTTGTTAGATCACTTCATGAATTTTTTTTAAAGGTGAAAGAGAAACCCTACCTACCTGCCCTATTTTTTCGGGACTGAGAGGCCCAAGAGAGACCATGTCTTGTAATTTACTATTGTAGATACAGACAAATCAATTGTCTGGCTTGATGTGCATAATTTGGATGGAACTGGGAAATATGTACAACCAAAATGTGTATCCACATTTCAAAGAGTTGTGGTATTGACAACTTTGCAAACACTTCACAAGCTATGTAATTCACCAACCTAATTGCATAATTTTGTTTCAGGAAAAGTTCCAAGCCCACAAAGTCTCAAGAAGAAACAAAGGCAGATGCCATACTTAGCAAGATATCAGGCGACTTTCTCGAGTGTACAATCTGCCTGGAGCCCTTTAAAGATCCCAAAGTCCTGCCGTGTCTTCACACCTTCTGTGAGGGCTGTCTGAAGAAGTTTGTTGCACAAGATAAAGTGAAGAACAAGTTTCAGTGTCCAACATGTCGGGTTGACACTGTACTTCCCAAAGGTGGCGTTGCAAGTTTCAAGAACAACTTCTTTGTCCAGAGCTTGGGTGACACAGTTCAGGCTCACAAGAGTCTGGTTAGCAAAGAGGATGGCAAAGTGCAGTGTGATAACTGTGAAGAGGAAGGAGCTAGCCATGGGTGTGTTGTCTGTGAAGAGTTCTTGTGTGACGAGTGCGCTTCTGTCCACCGCCGTGCCAAACGTACACGCAGTCATGAAGTCGTCAGCGCGCCAAAGCTGAAAGAGCAGCTGATCACTAAAACAGGATCACTCAAGTCAAGTTCACTTCCAATTTGTCCTAAACATGAGGATGAGAAGTTGAAGTTTTACTGTGAGACGTGCAAGCACCCCATCTGTCGAGATTGCACGGTACTGCAGCATAAGAATCACAAGTATGGCTACCTAGCGGATGCTGTGGGCGAAGCCAGGGCAGAAATCAAGAAGAAACTGAAAGCTGCCAAGCAAAAAATTTCAAAATACCAAGACAAGGCAAGCACTGTAGCCAAGAAGCAAGAAGAACTGTACACAAGGAACAAGAAAGCTAAAGAGGACATCAGCTCAGCTGCAAAGGAAGAAATCAAGCATTTCACTGGTCTTGTAAGATGCAATCAGACTGAGCTGAATGAAAAGCTGGCCTCCCTCACTGCAGTCCATTCCAAGCAGCTGTCTGCTACAGCAGACAGTATTGAGAGCACCCTAGGCTGTCTGTCCAGCACTGTAGACTTCTCACAGAAGGTGGTGGAGCATGGCAGTGACTTTGACATCATGAATGCGTACTCTGATGTCACTTCACGGCTGGACTCTCTGCTGGAAGGTCCGATCCCAGACATTCCTGACGACATCAGTTATGTCATGTTTCATCCAAAGACAGAAAGGAAAGAGAAAGGAGTCATCCTAGGTAACATTGTTGATGAAGAAATTCAGAATGATGAAATGGAGGGAGAGTCGAGAGCCGAAGTGACCTTTCGTTTTACCGTGGACAACTTCAGCAAGCTCAATGAGAAGGAGTTCAGTACTGTTTTCTTCATCCGCAATCTGCCCTGGAAACTATGTGCTGAGCCGTACGATGTCCCCAATGGCCAGCCTCCCAACAACAAAAACCTCGCTGTCTTCCTACATTGTGAGGCTGATGCCCAAAGCTTGTGGTCGTGCCATGCTTCAGCCGAGCTACGGTTGATTTCTCAAAAGAAAGGTGTGAAGACGTTGAGTTTGAAGATTGACCAGACTTTCTACAACAATGGGAGCGGCTGGGGAATAAGGGAATTCATGCCGTGGCATGAGGTGTGTGATCCACAGAAGGGGTACATCAAGGATGACAAGATCATACTGGAGGCCTACGTGAAGGCAGATGCTCCTTGTGGTGAGAAGGAGATCATCGTTGACCACATTGATGGCGAAGAGATGGAGGACGAGCCTCAAAGAGAAGCTACCATTCGTTTCACGGTGGAAAACTTCAGCAAGATCACTGAGAGGAAGTTCAGCCATGCTGTTTTCATCCAAAACCTCCCATGGAAAATACTGGCCATGCCCTCTGTTGACTCCAATGCCCAGCCACCCAACAACAAGAACCTTGCTGTCTACCTGCATTGTGATGCTGAGTCCAAAAGCTTGTGGTCCTGCCGTGTCTCAACTGAGCTGCGGTTGATTCCACAGAAGAAAGGTGTGCAGACATTGACAGACAACACGGACAAGATTTCTGTTTTCTACAACAAGGATAAGAGCTGGGGATGTAGAAACTTCATGCCTTGGCATGAGGTGTGTGACCCACAGAAGGGATACATCAAGGATGACAAGATCATACTGGAGGCCTATGTGAAGGCAGATGCTCCTCATGGGATGAAGGAAATCACCCTTGGCAACATTTTCTGTGACGAAATGCAGAAGATTGAGCCACAAGGTGAGGCAACCTTTCGTTTCACTGTGAAGAACTTCAGTGAGGTCAAAGAGGCACAGTACAGTAATCCGGTCTTCATCCGTAACCTGCCATGGAGAATAATGGCCAGGCCAGACCACAACAGCAGCAGTGATCCAACCCATAACAAGAGCCAGGGTTGGACAAGTTTTCAAAAATCCACTTGCCGTATCGGGCAAGTGCCTAGTCATTTCCACTTGCCCGAACTAAATTTTCACTTGCCCAAAATATGAAGTATTTCTACGCATTTTACTAAGCAGAAAGGAAATTATTTTATTATGATAGAGTTTATAATATTGGATGCTTAATTTATCAAAATTGTTTGAAACTTGGTCAAAATACTGCAGGGGCTATACTTTGCATCCAAAAAATTTACGTGCCCAATCGGGCAAGTCCAGGGGGATATTCACTTGCCCGAACAGTACTTTTACTTGCCCTGGGCAAGTGGGCAATGGGACTTGTCCAACCCTGGGAGCCTTGCTGTCTACCTACAATGTGACGCTGACTCTACCAGCTTCTGGTCATGTCGTGCATCATTCGAGCTTCGGTTGATACCACAGAAGATTGGCGTAAAGATTCATGGAATGGCATCAGAGAATGTCTTCTACAAGAACGCTGATAACTGGGGGTGGTTCCAGTTCATGCCGTGGCACGAGGTGTGTGATCCACAGAAGGGGTACATCAAGGATGACAAGATCATACTGGAGGCCTATGTGAAGGCAGATGCTCCTCGTATCTTAGCCTGAAACCACAAAGAAATGGCTTTTGACACAGGATTGATCAGTTAGAGAACAGGTGAGCAACACCTGCTTGTGGATATAAAATCCTGCAGACAGTGCCAAGAGTTACAAACAACAGTTTTTGCCAACAGTGTGCCAAGTTGTGCCAACAGTGCAAGATTGCCACATGTAAAAAATGTATGGTACATTACAGACTGACATTGATATGTGCAAGATTATGATACATGTATTCACACAATGAAGTACGAAATAGGACAAGCGGTCAACTTGTATAACACAAAACGTATCATCCCAGTGAACAACCAAGATCAAGAGTAATTGGACTTGTGCATAGACTGTAGAAAAAAATGTATCAATCACAGTGAACAAGCCTTTGTTCATACCAAGTACATTCCTTACTAATGGTGAGTCAAACATTTGTAGTCAAGGAGAAAGCTGGAATCTTGTGGACTGCAACTTGAAGTGCTTCAATACTATACTTCTAATGCTGTTTTCGGACAAGAAAACTGGATTTTGCTATGAACAAGCATACTTTCAGTTTGTTACACACTTTGTTAAAACAGTCTTTCTGAATAACATAGAATTAATCCTGTTGTTCCCCAAGATCAAGAGTGACCTAATCTTTAAACTGGACTTATGCACAGTTAGAAAGCAGGCCTGTGTTAATAATGAGTACATTTCTTACTAAACATCTGTAGTAATGGACAGAATAGGAATGCTGGAATCGTATAGGTTCTAACACGTTGCTTAAGTTATTGCACCGTGAGGTGCTTGATATACGGAAGAATATACACTGAATCTGTATAATACAAAACTGATCCACTGTACCAGCCCCCATGCCCAAGATCAGGAGTAACCTAATTGTCTAGATGTATGCACTGTTCTGCATAGACTCTAGAAAATAGTTGGAACTATGATAGTATCATAGTAAGCAAGCACGTTCAGTACATTCTGTACTAATGATATGTTACACACTTTTACTACCTAGTAAGTTGTACTAGGTAGTAAAGAATAACACAGAAATGTTGGAATCTTTGTAGGCTGTTATAGGTTGTAGACTGCATCTTCAAGTGCTTCAATACTGTAGTTTTATTGCGGTTTTGTTCTTCAATAAGTGCCTTGTGATAAGGTTATTTTGCTGTGAACAAGCTTTGTTTGTTACACATGGTAGATCATAGCAACTACATATATACAGCAAATACACCGATAGGTCCTCAAATGACTATTAAGAACTCATATACTATTAGATACATGATCACTTTACAGCAACAAAAAGTAGTTTTTGACAAGAAACGATATATGACAAGATTTTACTTTTGTTACTAATATTTATTTTTTCATCTACTTGTAGATGTTATAGAGCAGCTAAATTGGATTTAAGTAATTATTATTGTTTATCGTCAATGGACAACAACCGAATGTTGTAGTTACGTATGATATGGACTACACATTCTGTTACTGTTCACTATGATTTAACATACATCAACTAACCATGTTGCACTTCTGTTATGATTTAACCTTTATAACTTATTAGTATTATGTTTACTATCTGTAGAATATAGTTGACCATGCAAGGAAAGGCTGTTTTTTTTGTTGAGGTCAATAAAATTGATAGTGAAATATTTGGAAATATATTTTTTAAAAGATCCCAAGATCCTTCACACCTGTGAGGGCTGTCTCACAAAGTATGTTGTACAAGATAAAGTGAAGAACAAGTTTCAGTGTACAACATGTCGAAACGTCACCCCATACTTCCCAAGGGTGTTCTTTCCGGGCTTAAAAACAACTTTGTCCAGACCTTGAGTGACAGTTCGGTCTCACTAGAGTTTGGTTAGCAAGGAAGATTACAAAGTGCAGTGTAATAAATGTGAAGAAGTGGCTAGCCATGGTTGTGTTGTCTGAGAAGAGTTCTTGTGTGATGAGTGTGCCGCTGCCCACCACCATGCCAAACTCTTGCGCAGCCATGTGGTAGCTGCAACACTAATTAATTCTAGTGTTGGAAGGAAAGTTTAGTCTTTATTTCATAATGACTTATACCAACACAGATGAACTTTCATGCTGAGACGAGGAAGATCTGTTGTGAAAATTTATTGTATAAATTTTGTACAATTTTCCACACTCCAATCATACTAGTACTCACACTAATGATTAGTGAAACATGAAAATCACTCGGACAGAAGCGATCTACAAGTCTTTTACAAATCTTTGCAGCAACCCCCAGAGCACAGGATTCAAGTAAGGCCGTGTTGATTTGATTATATGGATGACATCTCATGGGAACCGCAAAACTGATGTGTGCGTGTGAATAAAAAAGTTTGGCAAAAAGTTGCCTTCATTATGAAATCTAGGTGGTCATGAAGGTTGAACAAATGACTATACACACAGAGTATGGTATAGCATATAATAGACTTCATTTTCATTTCTTCACAAATTTTTCTTTTCCTTTTGAATTGACTTTGGCGTTCTAGGATATTAGTATCATTTTTCAATATTTTTTTGCAATTATTTGCTCATTTTGCAGCTGTTTTGTACCGTTTACAGTGCGGTCAAAAAAAACTTTTGGGGGAAATATAGACAAAAAATCATGCACGCGTGGATGCCACCCATATAATCAAATCAACATGGCCTAAAGAGTCATTTGAAAAGGTACTGCGGGCAGAAAAACGCTCATACAAGGATCATAAGTCCTGAAGGCATGGCAGTCCGGACAATGCATTACAGAGCACACATTTTAAATTTACATTCGTTAGTTTACAACAGAGAGCTGTGTTAATATATTTACAATCAACCTTAGATTTGAAGATATCATTCAATATCTGATTATAGAAACAACTTCGGTGCATTCACTATAAATGAGTGCTAAAACAGCAATAAAATACTGCGATCCACTACATTTCACCTATCACTGAAACCACAGCCAAAGAGACCTACATGTACTTATAATATTGTAATAGAAACTACATTTGAAAAATGTAGGAATATAGTAAATATTTGTGCATTCATTCATATACCAATACAAAAGAAAATCTGACTAATAATTCGTAAAAACACTACTATCCACAATTTGTAAAATAATGTTTTGAAAATCTAAGAATCAGAAATATTCTTAACCCCTTCCTGCTGTAATGATTAATTTCTGTATATCTCTTGCACATCTTTGGATGGATACACTGTTTAAAAACACTAAAACAAAAAGAAACAGGTTTTTAATATGAAACAATACATCTCTGTCATAAACTATGATATGATCTGGTGTATAATGTTAATAATCAGTGCAAAAATACATGTACAAATTAACAGAAAAAAACCCCCAGCTAAAACAGTAGTTCAACAAGTTTTTGTAACACCTAGAAATAAGGGACAATCATATATTTTCCATAGCTGAACACTAGAAAGCCATATAACAAGGTCCACAAAAACAAAACATTTGACATTATTTCTCTGCAAGATGCAATGGTAAAAGCATTAATTTGTTAATATCATTTGCTGATCCATGTTGCCGTTGAAAATCAGTACAAAGTGGTAATCAAAGTGCCTGGAATCAGGGCGGTTTGATTTTGATTCTATATGATTTGAATTTGTCTGATTTGTAAGCAAGCAAAAACTGAGCTAATACTTATGTCAGTATCATAGGTTGGTCTCCCGCTCACTTAGTACTGATTTTCTTTGAACAGCACCTGTAAAGAAACGACAACAAACATCTGACTTTTTGTGGACAATGACTTTAGGGCTTATAGTATACAAGCTGAGATTGACATTCTTCGTTTCTGGAGGTCAAAACTAGTTGAACTACGCTTCTACTGGAATACTTGTGTCCAAGCAGATATAAGGTTCTACGAGTATGTGGGCAGAACATACTGCATCTGTGCAATACCCGTAATGTATTGCGCATAGCACTTTGGCAAAACGTCGCAATTAAGGTTCTAATATAATCATTTGCATTTAAAGTATTACACTGTAGATTAATCAAGTTTTTTTTGCAGATTTGAATTTTGCAGGCAGGAGTAGAGAAGAGGTTTTTGTGTGGCTGAAACAATGTTAATGTTTATTGTACTGTATCACAAACACTTGTTTTACATACTAAAGGATTTTTTTTTTATGGAGAGGCAATGTGAAAACCAGGAAAATAAAACCACAGTGAATTTTTCCAGATTTACAGTACTAGAGCTGAGTATAAAATGTTACAAAAGCTGGTGGGACCTTTACATCTGCTTGGACGTTACCTATCACCTGAAAATCTTGGTATTGACAAAATTTAACAAAAACTCATGTAACTTCAAACCCTTATACTTAGTTAATTACAAATATGATTAAACTTAAAAAAGATGCACTATTTATGACAATTCATCTACAGCTCTGTTTTTTTTTCATTTCAAATTTCAACACTAGTTTCACAGTACAACAGATTTCGGATGGATTCTATAGCAGTTCCATTCCCTTGTAGTCTTTCTTCTCTGTCTAGTCTCTCTCTTGCCGTTTATTATCTAGATTTGAAGATATTCTTGTTTAAATCTCTTTAGATGCACAAAAATACAGCACTGCTCCAAACACAGAAGCCCAGACACTGTATATGTTATTGCTGTGCACAGTGGCCACTACACAGATTTCAGTGGTCTCAAATTGCATTTCTACACAAAAATCCCACAAAAAGTCAACCACAGATGATTGTACAGTCAGTACGGTTGGCCATTTTTACAGGCAACTGTGGTCACTGAGAAAGAACTGTACTTAGTAACAAAGTTACTGTGCACTTACTAATTCAAGACAGTCATTATGATAATATCAAATACCCAACAGACTGATCCAAAAGCCCTGCCCACTTCCGTCAAAACGTAGACATGCAAAATAAACACATAAAAATGTAAACATTTGACAGACATACAACTGCTCTCTCATTGGTTGGACTAGTAGTCTTGCCATTCTGTCATTGGCTAAACTGCTAATTGTGATTGACAGTTAGGATCGGTTTATTGTGCATTGTCCAGATTTCTATGTTAAAATCTACATCTGGTAGTATAAGTCTTTCAAGACCATATTTTAAAAAAAGTTTTATTTCAAAAATTTTGTCTAATGGTGTATTTTTAAGTACTGAGTTTTAGAATATACAAAAAGAACAACAAATATGATTAAGGGGAAGCCTTGTAGAGTTTGGCATTGCATGCATCTCTGATCATTCACTGTAATTATATTTTTAAAGTTCCCATCAGATTCAGAGCTTGGTCACATTCGTTGTACAATCATCGTATGATTGCAAACTAAAGGCATTCTTGTTAGCAGAATGCTCTTCACTAAGTGACTGTTTTTGTAAGGTAAAAACATGTACCTCCAAATTTTCAATGTCAACTGTACATCTTGATCACGGAGTGACCTACAACACATGTAGTCTCGTGAGAACACAAGACTAGGTCGAGACTTGCGTGGATCTTCTGACCTCCCCCGCCTCCTTGCGGAGTAGGGGTAAATAGGACTTGGGCAGCTCCCAACCTTGGAGGTACATGTTTCTACCTTACAAAAACAGTCACTGATTGAAGAATATTCTACTAACTGTAATCTTATGTGACTGTTGAACCTCTTCAATAAAGGCATTATTGTAGTCAAGCCAAAATTCTGCTGTCACAAAAGACAGTCTTACATGTTAGATCCTGGTTGGTGGTTGGTTCTGTCACAGCCTGCTGGAAAATTCTATAAAGACATCAAAATTGTAGAACAAATGTGACCACGCAGTTAGTAAATGCATTTTAAAGTTTTCAAATTATAACGTTAGCACGAATGCAAAACAGTCAAAAATTGTCAAGTCACCATACGTAAAACTGTAATATTTCACCTTAAAGTTAAAATACCTTTCGTCTTAAAACACAAGCTTTTTGAAACCAAACATTGAAGATAAAAATACCCAAAGAAAGGTGTTAGCAAGTCACCAGTATCAAACTTGCACAACTACATGTAAAAAAAAAACCCACTTCATTTTCACTAATTTCTTTTCACATATTACAATTAGTCATTTCATCATACAATAATCTACAATAATATTAATTTTTTTAGTAGATGTTTCTGTGCTGAAAAGCATGACCAAATTTTGGATCAAACAGTCACCAAAGTGGTTAAAAACTTGTAAGTTAACCAGACCATGGAAACAACCTACATTTCTTGCATGTAAACATCACTATTATCATTTTTTTCCACAACTGTCATAATTCAATGTCCACCTTGCAATTATATCTTCTTATGTTACAAAATATGCAGCAGTTAGTCTTATATCACTTTCATTTATCCTTTTATAAAATTTGGTCATTCAAAGCTTGTTAAATCAGCCTTTTACCTTCTTGTATGACAACCCGTACACCCCCACTTCAAAGTGTAAACATCCACTTCAAGAAGCAATAACGCAGCAAAAGACAGTTGGACTATCAAAAAGTAGGGGTGTTCAAAATGGTAAGCATAAAAAATCTCATTCATAACTCATCAACCCTGACCACCCCTATTTACAAATAGATCAGGCTGCTGCGTCAACCACTGACTGTAGTGCTGGGTTGGTTGACTTCATGAACAGGGGTGTTTGGGGTTGATTTGTGGGTTATTCGTGGTGGTAGGCTTGGCGCTGGCGCGTACCGTCCGTGTCCCGGAGGTTGTCTGTGCTCTGCTGAAGGTCCTTCTCGTTACTGAAGAACATCTCCGTGGTGAGGTACTGCTCTCGCTTGATGAGGTCATGGAGGTCGTGGGGGACGTCGGGGATCAGGTAGGCCAGCATGTTCTTAATCAGGAACACAATGTGCTGCAACAGGGGCAAGGTGGTTAGAGTGGTCGACTTCAAGTGTAAAGGTTCTGGGTTCAATTCCCAGTGGATTACATTTTCATTCTTTGACAAAGACTGGTACAGTCCAATTCTTTGGGTTGGAACTTCGTAGACTCATGCAAATGTAGGATACATTTGTTTTATAGTTAAAGTTAGGGGCAAGGTGGTTAGAGTGGTCAACTTCAAGTGTAAAGGTTCTGGGCTCGGTTCCCGGTGGAGTGAATTTTCATTTGAAACTGTTGTAAGGTTACACGGTCCAATTCTTTAAATTTGCACTTTATAGACTTGTAGGATACTTTTGTTTTATAATTAGTCTAATTGTAAAAGCTATTGTCTAAGTGTCTGTTTTCTCTAGGATAGTATGTACATGTAGATGGGCCTAACTAAGATGGGCCTTAGCCTAACTACAGACAGAACAAGAGTTCAAAGAACCTCTTAAGAATATGGAAAATGTTATGTAAATATTATATGCGAAACTGCGAATTTACACACAAACAGATAAACCAAAAAACATTACCTCCCAAATGAATTAGTAGCCTCTTCCATTAAACCCTATGACTTTAAATGTCAGTTGTGAACAAGGTTGTTAAATGATAATTCTACCTTTGAACTCTACATGTTTGTACTTTCTGTCACTTTTTTGCCCTTTACTTAATGTTACTCTGTGGTGAGACAGGTGAGAACAGAAATATACAGAGAATGGAAATATAATGCAAATTATACACAAACTAAGGTAGAAGGGACAGCCTTACCTCAAACAGCACAATGAAGACAAATCTGGCAGCGAAGGTGTGCCAGAAGTGCAGGGTGTACTCGTACTCATTAGGGTG